AAGCACAGCCACCACCTGGGCTAAGCATGCCCGCCTTTGCTAACACCCACTCTGCAAAAGGACCAAGCCCTGCAACTCGGCTAGCTGTTCCTCACTCCCTCGTCACCCACCTACACAAACGCACACGCACACACCCTTAGCCTACAATTAACAGCAACAACAAGGAATCAGTAACAGCCAATGGGAGCATATTGTCATGGAACAAGCCATGGAATTTGCACAAGATCCCTTGGACAAGCAATTAACCTCACCAAGCCTCAGGGTCCTCACCCCCTGAATGGCCATGCAGACAGGTCCGGCCTCTCCACGCTGCCATGAGGATACTTGACTGTCAGATCCAGAGAACTCTCCTACGCAGCATTTGGTGCCACCCCTCAGTCCTGCCCCCAGCACATCGTGCCAGCCCCAGAAGCTCTTGCACCAGCAAATAAATGCTTTAACTGGGATTATGCAACTCACTTCTGCTCACCACCCTTCAGCAGAATAAGCCACATGGCCCTAGAAAGGGACAGGGAAGGAGCCCATTTCTGTGTCCTCAGTAGAAGAGAAGTGGATTTTGGGAAACAGGCGTTTCTTTTTTTTGTCTTTTCGAGACAAGGTCTCACTGTGTCTTCCAGGCTGGAGTGCAGTGGCGCGATTTCAGCTCTCCTCCATCTCCTCGGTTCAAGTGATTCTCCTGCCTCAGCCTCCAAAGTAACTGGGATTACAGGTGCACGCCACCATGCCTGTATAGCCCTTATTTCCCTTTTTTTTTTTTTTTTTTTTTTTGTATTTTTAGTAGACAGAGGGTTTCACCATGTTGCCCAGGCTGGTCTCAAACTCCTGACCTCGAATGATCCGCCTGCCTCAGCTTCCCAAAGTGCTGAAATTACAGGCGTGAGCCATCGCACCCAGACAGAGAGAGACATTCCTAACACAGACACAGCCTCTGTCCTCGGGAGCTTACGGCAAGTGGTTAAGACACGTTACACAAACCCCCATAGGAAAGGCTGCCAAAGATCCTGTAAGGTGCCATGGGAGCAAAGGAAGACTCTATTCACCCCACCTGGGAACCTGTGATAGAGGTGTGTATGTCTTCAGGGAAGGCTTCCTGGGGGAGGTTATATCTGAACATCATGAACGGTCCAGGCGATCCTCCCAGGAAAGAGGACTGATGGCAGTCACTGAGCACAGAGGCTCCTGACCTTGGTAACACTGCAATCTTGTCTTTTCTGGTGCTGAGGCCGGGGCTCCTTCATAACTGGATCATAAACCCACTCCAAGTGGGTATACCTGACACTGTGACCGCCAGGGCAGAATCACCAGGACCACAGAAAGCTGAGGGCCAGCCAGACACCCGGGTCCTCAGTGTAGGGACACAGATGCCAGCCGGGCATGGGTTCAAATCCCAGCTCTGTCACATGTCCTCAGGGACCACCATGATGTTGGTTTGTGAACTTGGTGTTATAAAACGTTTTTAAGAGAGCTATGTTTTCATTAACCTAACAAATCTATTAATAAAAAACAGGCAGTCTGTAGTCAAAATTGTTACCAGAAATAAAAAGTCAAACAATATTGATGATTGACATTCCTACTATACCTATATATTAGTATCTATCAGAAATAGCATGCACTGAGTCCCGGCCAAGGGCTTGGCCAATTACTATTCTATTATTATTAGACTTGTTCATAGATGAAAAAATTCAAGCACAGAAGTCAATTAAGCAGCCCGAGAGCACAGGAATGTGCTACAGAAAGTGATTTCCTCCATACTGAGCCTCAGCAGGGAACTCACCGTTCCCGCCTCTCACACAGCACCAGGGCAGACAGGAACACAGGAGCCGACGGTATAGGGTTCAAGTCTCAACTCTGCCACTCAGTCACCCTTTGATCTCTGGTGTGCCACCTTGGCAAGCCTTTCTTCCCTCATTCTTTTTTTTTTTTTTTTGAGACAGAGTCTCGCTTTGCTGCCCAGGCTGGAGTGCAGTGGCACGATCTCAGCTCACTGCAGCCTCTGCCTCCTGGATTCAAGCGATTCTCCTGACTCAGCCTACTGAATAGCTGGGACTATAGGCACGCTCCACCACACCCGGCTAATTTTGTATTTTTAGTAGAGATGAGGTTTTACCATGTTGGCCAGGATGGTCTTGATCTTCTGACCTCGTGACCCACTCACCTCGGCCTCTCTGAGTGCTGGGATTACAAGCATGAGCCAACCGCACCCGGCCCACTTCCCTCATTTCTGAAATAGAGGTTGATCCAACCTCATCAGGTAATTGAGACAAAGCGCTTGCCACAGAGTAGCGCTCAATAATGCTGGTGTCTCCATTTCCTTTGGCAGTCAAGAGGGTGGGGTCCCTGCACGCTCGGCTTGCCCAACAGTCTCCTGCCTCTTGATGGGGCCAAGGGATAGCTCACAATGCCTGGGCAATGCCATCCCCATTTCTAGGAGTCCTTATAAGCTCAGGTAAGCTTTATTAGAAATATCAAGGAGGCAGGAATACTTTTATTTTCGAATAATGGAAAATCGTGGTTCCTGAACTGGAAGACACCAAAAGTTACCCAGGGTTCTGAGGAGGCCAATGTCCGGGGCATGTTCCCACTGGAATGCAGTTTCACTAGAAGGCAAAGTCAGTATGTGGCATCCCACACCTGTTCATCTGGCCTAACTAATGCCTCCCATGCTTCCAGATGAACGTGAGTCACATGGAGTTATGAAAAGCATCAGTGAACTTCCATCTCCAGTGAGAGGTGCAGCTCCCCTTTCTTCTTCCATTGCCTGGCTATGGCTTGTACAGAACCTACCAGGCAGGTAGATCTTGACCTTACAGAGACAGGAGAAAGTTGGGAGGTAGAGAAGGTCAAGAAGACCCTTCAGAACACTGATGACTATTCAGGATCCTTGCAGGTTTAAGGGGCTCCCATTAACTTCAATAATCCTGGAGCCCCCATCAGTGCCTACCACGGAGCTGGGACCCAGCAAAGACATGGAGGCCCCTATGCTCTGGAAGGTTATTTACAATAAAGATGCAAGAAAGTGCTATGCTGAGTATAAATAAATAGCCCAAAGCATGATACAGATACTAAGTACAGACATAATAAAGATAAGAAGGGAAGGAAAGGAACCAACGCTGGCTTCGTGTTGCTGGGGAAAGCTACATGGGCAAGGTGCAGGTGGTCTGGGAGTACACCTAAGTCTTACTCCTTTACTTGTTTCAAAAATGCATGCTCATGTATGTTTTATCAGGCAAGACTGTAAGCTCCTTGAGGGTAGGGATGGTGCCCTGTTTACCACAGTATCCCTAATACCATGCATAGAATAGAGAGTCAAATGCCGGACTGACGGTTGGATGAATGGATGGATGGCCACCAGATGGACAGCCGGGCTGCATCACTGTCTTGAGACAGCAGCAGAAGACAAATGTAGATTTCAGTGGCCGAAGCCCATAGAACAGGGCTTTCCCCAGAGGCCCACGGCCACATTTCCCCCATTCCTGCTCTCAGAACCTAAAGCACTCTTGGCCTGCAGTCCCTGGGTTTCACAAACACTGCCTATATTTGGACTGCATTCCTGATGTGGTTTCACCCTGCAGGTCTCTCTCACTCACTCACTCTCTCACATGTCTTTCTCAATCACCTTTATCCCACTTCTGCTCCTGACCTGGATCTCTAGCCCACCCCCAGGTTGGTTCACAGTTTCTGAAAGAGCCATAGGCACGGGTGTCAGGCCCAGCTCAGCAGAAAGAACACATCTGGATGCATTGTTATCATAAAGTTCTGCTGACCTCTACTGTGGAACAGAAGAATTCAGTCACCTCTGCTTCCACATCTGTGCAGGGTAAGCTCCCTTTGCTTTCGCTCCATAGCCCCAAGTCTAGCCCGGAACCCACTCCCCTTCACCCATCCTCAAGAAGGGAAGGCACAGCTGGGAGCCTTTGCAAAACGTCACCATACCCACAAGCTGCAGCCGCGTGCTCCCTCCAGCAAGACTGCAGATAATGTCAGCTGGACCTTCTCTTCTCACTCTGACCTCGAAGCGGACTTTGTTTCCTTTGTTTGTTTTCACGTCAGAACATCCTGGTAAGGAAGACTGGCATCTATTTTCTTCTCAACGTGACACTGACACAACTCCACTTTGTGCAAGTAAATGTTTTCAAACTAAATGAGTCATTTGGTGGGAACAGTGAGTTCACAAGCCTGCATATAGGTTGACCCTTCACCAAGGAGTATAGCAGGCAGCATTGTGTGTGGGACTGACAAATATTAGGAACAATGAGATCTTGTCTTCCAAGTTGATATCCATCGCTGTAAGCAGGGAAAACAGGGAGAAAAATGTGGAGATCGTTTAAGACTCTGGGCCGGGCAGAGTTCATCCTTGGGGAGAATCCAGCTACACTAGTATCTTGCTATAAAATCTTGGGAGTGGAGGAGGTATTTAACTTCTGACCCTTGCTAATTCATTTGTGGTTGTCAGGATTAACCTGAATCACTTAATACATGTAAAGCATTTGAAAAATGCTTAGTATATAGTAAGCATTCAATCAATGTAGCTGTTATTCTTTCATTTGTTTATTTTTGAGACAGGGTCTCCCCTCTGTCATCCAGGCTGGAATGCAGTGGCATGATTGAGTTCACTGCAACCTGTGCCTCCCAGGCTCAAGCGATCCTCCCATCTCAGCCTCCCAAGTAGCTGGGGCTACAGACGCACATCACCATGCCCTGCTAATTTCTGTATTTATAGTAGAGATAGGGTTTCGCCATGTAGCCCAGGCTAGTCTTGAGCTCCTGGGCTCAAGCAATCCTCCTGCCTCACCCTCCCAAACTGCTGGGATTACAGGTGTGAGCCACTGTACCCAGTCTGTTATTATTCTTCAGCATATAGGGGGCTGTACTGCCCAGGGTATGAGTCACTACCCACATATGGCAATTTAAATTGAAACTAATTAAAATTAAACAACATCAAAAATTCAGTTCCTCAGTTGCACCAGCTACCTTTCAAGTACTCAGGAACTACCCATGTCTAGCGGTGACTATATTGGATGGTGCAGACGGAGAGCAGTTCCATCCTGCAGAAGGTTCTATAGGACGGAGCTGATAGTGGAGGTGAAGGAGTGGCTGGAAGCTCGAGGGTCTGTGTGATCTTGGGCTAGTTACTTCACCTCTCTGTGCCTCATTTTCTCATTTGTAAAATGAGGTTGATATAGCTACATGATTCAGTCATAAAGAGGATTATCTGCTATGCAAGCACTCACAATAAGTCTTATGGTAAACACTCACCAGATGGAGCCCTAGAATGGGGGACAGACACCCTTATGGTGCAGGGTGGATTGCTGCAAGGATTAGAAAGATTTTTATAGAAAGCACCTCCCACAGGGCCAAACATAGCAGATACTCAGTCCATTCACTTTTTTTCCTCAATAAATGGTTCACAGAGCACCTACTATGGACTAGGCATTCTTCAAGGCACCAGAGACATCAAAAGGAACAAAGGTCTTGCCCTCATGGGGCTTACAGTCTCACTAAAGGAGGTGATTATTGCTTATGCTAATAGAACGCCAACACGTCCATCCTATTACATGGTCTCAGCAATGAAAAAGAAGTGCCAACCTTTGCCGCCCACAAAGGCGGGGTCTGATAAAAGGGCTCTAACGAATGAATGGATGCAAAGATGAATGAATGAGGGTGTGGGGAGGAGGCTCCATAATGCACAAGCAATGAACTGGGCGCTGGGTGGGCCCAGAGTTAACTACCCCACGGTGGATGGGTGTGGCTAACTCAGCTGTTGCCAGGTGACACTCATAAGTGATCATAAAGCAGTCAGCAAACAGTGCTATGTATAAAACCTTAATCATCATGAACAGGAATCTTAAAATCCAAATGACTGGGATAAATAAGGCCTTTGTGCACATGCCCTCTGGCTTCTATTCTGGACTCTGCTCTGACTCATCCTGTGGGCTAGGGCTGTTCACTCAGCTGAGGGACCAAACAGCCTTTTGCTGGCCCTGGACAAATGGAACCCCCCTAAGAAGGAGGTGTCCCGCTGCCTAGAAAACTCCTCCCCAGCCCTCGGACTCACCTGCTGGCCTGAGCGACGTGCTGGTTCTATAAATTCACGGCAAGGGGCTTTCCCAGGAGGCGGTAAGTGCCTACGTTTCTATTTCCAAAATCTGAAAGCTCTGTCTCATAGGTTTGCAGCTCTCTGACAGCTAAATGTCATGGGATGGAGCCACGTTGAATCACTAGATCTACTTCTTACCAGCAGGCTGGGCCTCAGAAAGTTATTTCAAGTCCTCTAGTCCCGATCGCTCCTTTTTTGTTTGGTAAGTAAAAATAGTGCATGCTTCCCAACACTGTTAGCAGGATTACATGAGATAACTTAAATAAAGTGCCCAAGTCTTTGGTAGGACCTAGCTTATGTCCTATTTAGTATGCCAGGATGGCTGGACAAGAAGAGGAGACACAGCCAAAGTCCCAGTGCAGTCACTATCTATCAGGGCCACCTGGTCGACCCGCGCCTTGCCCAATTCCCTCCTCATTCAAAGGAAAGGGCCAAACCGGATCGGTGCTGCACACCCTGAAATCTCTCGCAGCACACTACCCGCTCAATTTTCCCACAACCATGGTGCGTTTCATCCTGCTGAAAAGAATACAAAGCATATGGAAATTCAGTGCAAGAATTCATACCAGCAACCTCGTCCATCTGCATAAGCCTCAGTTCCAAATGGTGACAACAGGCCTTTCGCTCATTACAGGTCTCACATGTGCACGGGTGTGTGGGCACGGCACCCTGCCATCCACGGGACTGAGAGGGAAATGACTACCATGGCCTGCCTCACTGGAAGCAGCAACACCTGAGAAATGACATGTTTGGAATGCGGGTTATATATGGTTTCTATTCACGAACTAAAATAAATAGCCAAGTTTTAATGTAAAAATGCCTGTCTTGAATATCACACTTCAAGACGAGATGATGTCCAAGGTTCTGCCTGTGTCTGATCTACAAGGATTCCTGCTAGGAGTTCACCTGGTGGGGAGGACGTGGCTCAAATGAGCTTAGGTGATGCTTCCCCACGTGGCCTAAAAGGATTACTGTCCACTCCTCCCCTCACCATCCCAGCCAGCACCTGCCACACCGTGCCCTCCTCTTGCCCGTGGTCCTCCCTAGCATGTCCCTACTTGAATTACAGGCGATTTCCATTCCTCCAAACAGGTAGATTACTCCCATCAAAAGCGTTTCTGTCCATCTTATTAAACTCCTTCATCTGATGTGCCTTTCTAGTGATCCCCCAGCCCCTGGTTTGGTCATCCAGAAATCATCAATCATGTCAAATCCCACTCATCATGCATTTTCTGTATGTCTACGGCAAGCACAGCACATAGACACGATAATGACCTTCAAGGGCTCACAACTAAATGGGAGGGGAGTTGCAAGGTTCACAGATTAATGGCACAACTAAACGGAGAGCCACTGGTACTTCAACAGAATTGTAAGATGCCAGGCATTCAGGGCAGGACAGGCTGATTCCAAAGGTGGGGATGTGTAAAGAAGGGTCATGAACCAGGCTCCAAAAGTGAACAGAATGTAGACAGGCAGAGCGAAAGGGGGAACAGGGGGAGACCCTTTCACCTGAAATCCCTGAAATCCAACTTTCTGATCAATGCTCATCATTCTGGCCCTCTTTTACCCTTGAAGCCAACGCCTTTGGATCCACTTAAGCTTTCTACTGCATCCTCCTCTGGTCTTTCAGTTGGCTACTCCATGCTTGATCTGATCCCTGCAGGCCTACTCACCTTCCCTACTCCCTGGGCCCTGACCCAAAACAGCACTCTCCAAGTTGGCATTAAGTGTGGCAAGGCTAAAATTAGGACTGTTTCCATAGATATCTAGACTTCTCTTTAGCAAATGTGTTCAGCTCCCAAATGAAAAAAAAAAAAAAAAAAAAATGCATTTCCCATTCTGACTGCAAAGCAAACCAGGGGTCTAGGAAATCGAAGCCTGCCCACATCGGGAAGTGCCTCTGAGCTTCGCAACCGCATGGGAAGGAAAAGAGGAGCCTCCTTGGGTCTGTGCAGTGGTTTTTGCAGGGGAACTACAAAAGTCGTTTGTCCTCACTGGCTGAGAAAACACCAGGCAGCAAAGGAAGGGCAGCCACCGTGGGAAGCACTCACACGTCCAGACCACCAGCACATACGTGTGCACCCTCATGTCATCCTGGGAAGGGGGTCCCTTCTGGGAGGTGGTTCTCCTTTCTCCCCATTTCAGAGACGAGGCAATGCAGACCAGGAAAACTACGTAACTCAGTGGCCCTGGAAGACGAGCCACATCACCATGAAAAGATGGGAAATGGAAATTAAAACATATTTAGAGAACTGCCCAAAGCCACCCCACAAAGGGCCATCATCAGGAGGACAGGGAAGCAACAACAGTCATGGATCGTGATGTGGATGGCACGGCTCTGTTTTACGTTCTGTGTTCACGGCTTCATGTGGAGCCTCGCATTTCATCCTAGTTATGAGGTGACTTGTGTATCCCCCAGAAAGAAGCATTGAAGTCCGAACCCCACTCAGAACGTGGCCTTATTTGGACACAAGTTCACTGCAGATGAAATTCAGTTAGGATGAGGTCATACTGGAGAAGGGTGGACCCTGAATGCAGTCTGACTGGTGTCTTTATAAGACGATGGTCGTGTGATGAGACATACAGAAAGAACTCCAGTGACGACAGGGGCTCAGAGTGATGCATCTACAAGCCACAGGGCCAAAGAGAGCTGGCAAACCCCGAGACGCCAGGCAGAGGCCAGGAGGCACACCCCACAGGTTTCAGAGAGCATGGCCCTGCCGACACACCTCCGGCTTCTGGGATCAAGAGATGTTATCGTCTCATCGTTGTTTTGAGACATCCAGTTTGTTCCAGCAGCCTTCGGACAATTCTGTGAAGACAGGTACTGACACAGTTGAGCTGGGTTTTACATATGAAGTCACTAAATCTTCATTAACAACAAATAATGCCAGTGACAGATATCAACACGGTACCAAGTGCTTTACAGACAAACTCACTTTATCCCCACAACCTTAACCACACAACAACCCCGTGACTGTCCCCAATTTTTTTTTTTTTTTTTTTTTTTTTTTTGGGAGACAGTCTTGCTCTGTTGCCCAGGCTGGAGAGCAATGGCAAAATCTCAGCTCACTGCAACGTCCACCTACCGGGTTCCAGCAATTCTCCAGCCTCAGCCTCCCGAGTAGCTGGCATTATAGGCACACACCACCACACCCGGCTAATTTTTGTATTTTTAGTAGAGACAGGGTTTCCCGATGTTGACCAGTCTGTTTTGAACTGCTGACCGCAGGTGATCTGCCCACCTCTGCCTCTTAAAGTGCTGGGATTTCAGGCATGAGCCACCACACCCTGCCTGTCCCATTTTAAAATAGGGAAAACTGACATAAACAGATGGAAAAACATTCCATGCTCATGGTTAGAATCAATATCATGAAAATGGCCATACTGCCCAAAGTAATTTATAGATTCAATGCTATCCCCATCAAGCTCCCATTTACCTTCTTCACAGAACTGGAAAAAAAACACCTTAAACTTCACATGGAACCAAAAAAGAGCCCCCATAGCCAAGTCAATTCTAAGCAAAAAGAAAAAAGCTGGAGGCATCACGCTACCTGACTTCGAACTATACTACAAGGCTACAGTAAGCAAAACAGCATGGTACTGGTACCAAAACAGAGATATAGACCATTGGAAGTAACACCACACAGCTATAACCATCTGATCTTTGACAAATCTGACAAAAACAAGCAAGGGGTAAAGAATTCCCTGTTTAATAAATGGTGCTGGGAAAACTGGCTAGCCATGTGCAGAAAGCTGAAACTGGACCCCTTCCTTACACCTTACACAGAAATTAACTCCAGATGGATTAAAGACTTAAACATAAGTGTTGGGACTTATGTTATAAAAACCCTAGAAGAAAACCTAGGCAAAACCATTCAGGACATAGGCATGGGCAAGGACTTCATGACTAAAACATCAAAATCAAAGGCAACAAAAGCCAAAATAGACAAGTGGGACCTAATTAATCTTAAGAACTTCTGCAAAGCGGGGGAAAAAAAAAAATCATTAGATTGAACGGGCAACCAACAGAATGGGAAAAAATTTTTGAAAGCTACCCATCTGACAAACAGCCAATACCCTGAATCTACAAAGAACTAAAGCAGATTTACAAGAAAAAAACAAACAACCCCATCCAAGAGTGGGTGAAGGGTATGAACAGACACTTTTCAAAAGAAGACATATATGAGGCCAACAAATGTGAAAAAATGCTCATCATCATTGGTCATTAGAGAAATACAAATCATTTCTGAGATATCATCTCACATCAATAAGACTGAGACACCATCTCACACCAGTAAGAACGGCGATCATTAAAAAATCTGGAGACAACAGATGCGGGAGAGGATGTGGAGAAATAGGAACGCTTTTACACTGTTGGTGGGAGTATAAATTAGTTCAACCATTGTGGAAGACGGTGTGGTGATTCCTCAAGCATCTAGAACTAGAAATACCATTTGACCCAGCAATCCCATTACTGGGTATATATCCAAAGGATTATAAAGACACATATGATGAAGACACATGCACACGAATGTTCATTGTGGCACTGTTTACAATAGCAAATACCTGGAACCAACCCAAATGCCCACCAATGATAGACTGGACAAAGAAAATGTGGCACACATACACCATGGAATACTATGCAGCCATAAAAAACGATGAGTTCATGTCCTTTGTAGGGACATGGATGAATCTGGAAACCATCATTCTCAGCAAACTGACACAAGAACAGAAAACCAAATACCGCATGTTCTCACTCATAGGCGGGTGTTGAACAATGAGAACACATGGACACATCACACACTGGGGTCTGTTGGGAGGTGGGGGGCTAAGAGGGGGGATAGTGGTCATTGGGGAGGTTGGGGAGCGGTAACACTGGGAGAAATGCCTGGTGTAGATGACGAGGGGGATGGAGGCAGCAAACCACCATGGCATGTGCATACCTATGCAACAATCCTGCAACATCTGCACATGTGCCCCAGAACTTAAAGTACGATTTTTTTAAAAAGGAGGGAAAACTGAGGCATACAGAGATTAAATCATTTTCATAAGGGCACAAGGCTTATACGTGGTAGAGTGTGGATTCAAATCCAGATCCAGAATCTGAGCTATGACCCACTATAACCAGAGCAGGGTCTGGTCTAGAATTGAACTCGGAAGGTCTGGGGTCACAGCCCACACCCCTCGCCTCTTTTAAAACTTTGTATTCCACCTGCTAATAGAATGCTCTGCACTCAGGAGCAGCTTAAAACATTTATTTCATGGCACAAACAAATTAATGAGATGGGCAGTGGCTTCCATACATCCCATTAGTTCAAATTAAATATATTTATATTCATTTTAAGCCTGATCCAGGTGTACAGCACCAACAGAAATCAGAATAGGAATACCTGGGGTATCTAGACCACAAAGCAGGCAGACTGAAATAAAGCTCCTGTCTCAGAAAGCTTTATGCTGGGTCATTTCGGTAAGCACTTAATGAGCGCATATTGTGTGCCAGCTCCGTGTCCGGTAAGGAGGATACAAAAGACGCAGACTGAGCCTGGCAGGTACTCCATCTGGAAGGACACGGAAATGGCCACATTACCATATACCCAGGTAAGTACCAGGACTGAAGTCAGACAGAGGTGCTATTAGAGGAGAGAGGAGAGGTATCAAATCTGTCCAGGTAAATAGCAGATGGCTTTAGAGCATCTGGTGCCAGAGCTTTACCCTTCATTTCAAGCTTCTTATTTAAAGGTTAATCTAAACATCACTACTACCAACCTCCTTTCCCTGTGGGCTCATAAGTGCGCGTACACACATCCACACACATACACACATACACACACACACACACACACACACACACATACATCCACACACACACATCCACACACATCCACACACATACACACACACACACATCCACACACATACACACACATCCACACGCATACACACACATCCACACACACACACATCCACACATACACACACACACCCCTCTTTCTTCCCTCATTCTCTCCTCTTTTCTTTCTCTCTACACCTTGTCCCTGAAACACTTGATTTTTTCACTGCATGAACCACACTGGTAACCCACAGAACAAATGGAAATATTCAACTCCTGATTACTAATCCATAATGAAGTAAATAAAGTTAATTGATGATCTTCAAGAAAAAAAAATTTCAAGGTCAGAGCCTTGAACTAAAGTTCATAGCTAATTAGCAATGGTGATTAATGTGAAGTCATCTAAAGGGTCTCAGCACCAGGAAGTCAAGTCTATTTCTAAATCAACAAAAGAAAACAGTATTGGTGAAAGGAAAGAGGGACTGGGGTGACAGGAGGTGGAGGTGGTGGTTGAAGAAACTAGAATAGAGCATGCCCTGATGTCAACCTTTCAGATACTCACTCACCCACCCATCGAGGCCGGTCACTCCATGCAGAGAGAGCTGTCTTGATTGTCCTGTGGCAACTCAGCTTAGCAGATGCTGATGTGACACTGACTTCATTGCTTGTGCTGTGAAATGGGCACACTGGGATCCACTTTACAGAATCCTTCTCAGCTCGAGTGTACCAGAAGTGCTCAGAACCTTCCATGGCACGGGGTAGACACTCAGTAAATGCTATCCATTATTACTATTGCTACTAGCACGCTCTTGCCGTCAAAGAATTTGGCACAGCTCCTGAGAAAATGCACAGCAGCTGTATCCGTCTTCATCACCACCATCATCATCGCTAGCCCCATCATCACCAACACCACCAGCAGCTACACACAAGCTGTGGGCCCATTCTTTATGCCCTTGAACCTGAGTTTCTACAGCTACGAAGCAAATTCCACGGAATGCACAGATTGAACGCTAAGTGCAGGGCATCCTGAGGGCTGGCCCCAGCTCCCTGGGAGCCGGTCTTACAGAACACACTGGCAGGAAAAGCCAGAAACGAAGTGAATTTGGAGCACGGTAAAGAGCCATGGCTGGGTGCGGTGACTCACACCGGTAATCCCAGCACTTTGGGAGGCCAAGGCAGGTGGATCATCTGAGGTCACGATTTGGAAACCAGCCTGGCCAACATGGCAAAACTTCATCTCTATTAAAAATACAAAAAATTAGCTGGGCGTGGTGTTGGACACCTGTAATCCCAGCTACTCAGGAGGCTGGGGCAGGAGAATTGCTTGAACCTGGGAGGCGGAGGTTGCAGTGAGCCAAGATCATGCCACTGCACTCCAGCCTGGGTGCCAAGAGTGAAATTCCGTCTCAAAAAAAAGAAAAAAAGCCATGGAATTGACCTAGCTGGGAAAACACACAAACAAGCCTCTTAACATTAAAATTGGATCCTCTTACCAGAAAGCATGCCCACTCACCTCTGCCCGAGCCACCCCCAGCAAGAGGGAGGCCCCGGAGGAGGGCGCAGACTTGGCCAGAGGATCTGGAGCTGGGGAATCTGGCCTCCAAAGAGCACATCACCTCACTCCTGGGCAGCCTGACTTTGTGTCCTGCCCTGCCCACAAAAGGCCCTTAGATCAGGCGTATTTCTTTTTTTAACCCCCCTGGCACAAGGAGCACACGACAAAGGCACGCCTGGATTAGCTGGAGCGTTCCTGGCCTAATAAGACATGCTGTGGAGTTATCTGTATACTCTGTTCTAAACGGTGTCAGATAGAGCACTTCCTGCACCCAGCTGAAAGCCCTGAAG